GACCTGGTGGTGCAGCAGGACCGAGGACGGACTGATACGGGAGACCTGGTGGTGCAGCAGGACCGAGGACGGACTGATATGGGAGACCTGGTGGTGCAGCAGCTGCACGCTGCGCTGGGCTGCTCATTGAGCGAAAGGCCTGTCTGCCCTCAAGAGACCCACGGGCAGTTTTACTCTGCTCTGTAAGGACTCTGTGTGTCGGAATTAATTTGATGGCAGTGAGTCTGGCTTTGGGACCAGCCTGGCCTTCCTGAGGCTCTTGACTAGAGAAAGAAGCATGTCAGAGGGGTGGAAGGGACTATGAAGTATGATCAGAGGTGGGGAGGGGCAAGATCGGCACAGACTTTGTGCTGAACTACAACTTTCAAGCTTTATGTCAAAGGACACAAGCAAACACAGATATGGGCTTGCCATATAGATATGGACGCAAACTTTGTATAATGACTTAAAATAAAAAAATCTCCCAAAACAAAGAAAACTGGGTTTGGAGTTAGCTTGCAGTTCAATAAACTTCTCGTTCCCTAAGGATGCTGAACAATGCTGATTTTACTCTAGTCAGCCCTTAGAAACAGGTGTGTGTTGCTGCTGGATAATAACAGGATAAAAAGTAACTGAGAAACTGTAAGATGCAGCCACTAAGTGCCTCAGCACAAACAGGTACCTAATTAATTAACCTATCTTACCTTCAGTTTCCTTATCAGTCCAGAACAAATTCACAGTGGATGCTGACTCATAGCAACCCTAAAGGGCAAGGTGGAGCTGCCCCTGTGGGTTTCTGAGACTATAACTCTTTACACGATTTTAAAATGGAATGTGCAAAGACGGAGTTAGCAAAAAAGAAAGAACATGCTTAGCATATCTTAGGTTGAAAGAATGGAAGGCAAAATACAAGCCTGGAGTTGCAATATTGAAGGATTCCATGGACAAAATATTGAATGATGCAGGAAGCATCACAAGTACATGAAAAGAACACACAGTCGCTGTCCCAAAAAGAATTTGTCAACACACAACCATTTCAAGTAGCAGCATATGGTTAAGAACCAATGGTACTGAAGGAGGAAGTTCAAGCTACATGGAAGGCATTAGCAAAAAACACAGCTCCAGGAACTGATGGATTACCAATGAAATGCTCTAACAGTCTAATTGATCACCAAAAGCACTCACTCATCTATGTTAAACAATTTTGAAGACACCTATCTGGCCAACTGCCTGCAAGAGATCCCCATCTGTGCCCATTCCCAAGAAAGGTGATGTGACAGAATGTTCAAACTACAGAACAATATCACTGATAATCACATGCCAGTAAAAGTTTGCCTAAGCTAATGAAAAAACAATTGCAGCAGTACAGGGAGCTGGCGGAAACTGAAACTGCATTTGGAAGAAGTGACAAGGGATTTCATTACTGGCGTCAGATGGATCTTGGCTGAAAGCAGAGAATACCAGAAAGATGTCTACTTGGTGGCTTATGGACTTTGCAAAGACAATCGACTGTGTGGATCATACCAAACTGGATAGCACTGAGCAGAGTAAGAAATCCAGAAGTCCTATGGAACCAGTACACAGACAAAGAGGCAGTCATTTGAATGGAACAAGGTAATAATGCATGGTTTAGAACAGGGGTCCTCAAACTTTTAAAACAGGGGGCCAGTTCATTGTCCCTCAGACCCGATGGAGAGCTGGACTATAGTTTTAAAAAAACTATGAACAAATTCCTATGCACACTGCACCTATCTTATTTTGAAGTAAAAAACAAAACGGGGCAAAAACACTTGGCGGGCCGGATAAATGTCCTCGTGGCCCGCATGGCCAGCGGGCCGCAGTTTGAGGACCCATGGTTTAGAATCAAGAAAGTGTCCTTCAGTGTACAGCCGGCCACCATACTTATTTAATCTCTATGCTGAACAAATAGTTTGAGAAGTTGTACTCTATGAAGACTATAGCATAACGATTGAAGGCAGGCTTATCCTCTAATGCTCAGATGACACAACCAGCTTGCTACGGTAGTTACATAATCTGTTGTCAATCTGAGACTATTACGAGTGAAGGGGTGGAGTTTAGCCTGTCATTCAGGTCGCAGCTTGATGACCTCATTTGGAGGCGCTAAGGAGATAAGTAGCTCGCTGGAGGTAAGACACACACTCACTCCCTGTGAGACATTACTATGAGCCTGATGGAGCTACGCTAATGCAGCCAGAGCCCAGTAGCTGGAGGAGCCACGTAGAGACCAGTGCTGAGCAGCTTCTACCACCACTGGATCCATAAGACTTTCCACACACTGGCCTGTGATCTTGCTGCCTTCAGCATCAAGAAATGTATGGACTAGTATTGACATATGGGGTAGTATCAAACTTAAGGATGTCATCTGGCCTGGGCTGGGCTGTTTTCTTAATGTACCATTACTCTTGGATATAAAGCTCTTTCTTTTCTTTTCTTTTTAAGTTCTTATAAACATACGAGTGTCTATGAATTTGTTTCTCTAGTCAACCCACACTAACACACTTGCTAAAGAGCAAAGAAGTCTTGAAGTACTTGCTGGTGAAAATCAAAGACTGCAGCCTTCTGTATGAAGTGGAACTCAAAATAAAGAAGACCAAGTTCCTTATAACTGGGGATCAAGAGACAACCTCATGATAAAAGGATTTCATGTTACTTGGACCCACAGTCAACGCTCACGGAACAGCAGCCAAGCAGTCAAACAATGCACTGCATTACGCACATCTGCTGCACAAGACCTTTTTAAAGTGTTGAAGAACAAGGCTGTCACTGTGAGGACTAAGGTGTGCCTGACCAAGCCATGGTGTTTTCAATGGCCTCGTCTGCACGTGCCAATTGGACAAGGGATAGGAGGGCTGCAGAGAACTGAAGGAACTGAATTACGGTTGGGTGACGAGTATTCAAAGTAGTGCAGACTGCCAGAAAACAAACAAATCTGTCTGGAAGAAGAACTGTCAGAATACTAAGCAGCAAGGATGGTGAGACTCTGACTCACATACTGTGAACATGTAAACGCTCCCTGGAAAGGGCACATCATGCTTGGTGAGGTAGAGTCCGCACAAAAGAGGGGGACTCTCAAGGAGATGGACTGATGTAGTGGCTGCAACAATGGCATCTCACACACAATTGTGAGGGTGTAGGAATCGGCCAGTGTTTCATTGTGTTACATAGGTTGCTGAGTCAGCACCAACTTGACAATACCTAATGACAATAACAAATGTGTAAAATTAAGATCCCTAATAACCGAGAAAGTACAGTTACTAGTGCCCTTAACTAAAATCAGAATGCCCACAAAGTCGATGAAGGGCTCATATTCCACCTAAGGAAGGTTGCTCTGCAACTCTGCAGACCAGGCCCTGGAGAAGGGCATCAAGCCTGGTAAAGTCGAGAGCCAGTGAGAAAGAGGAAGGTTTGGATCTCTTCAAGAATCTAATGAAAGTTACGGACTAACCCCCACAAGCTAACGAACAGATGTACACACACAAACTTAGCACATTCTAAGCAGACCTTGGGTGCTCTCCGCAGAGCCATCTCTGAGATACGGACAGAGTGAGAGACTTCAGGAAGGGGGCTCAGTGCTACAATTTCAAAATTCTGAGAACTTGGAGTCGTCTTTACCTTGGTTGATTTCAGCAGCTGAAGGCCCCAAGCTCAAGCTCTTCTTCTGCTGAGCATTTTTGGCAAGAAGAGTGTGCTTGTCATCATTCCCTGTGTCCATCTCCGAAATAGTGACAGCCAGAATCCGGCAGAAATTCGCAAGCTGCTGCTGATCGAAATTGGATACTAAGGAACTCAGATTGGGGACTTCATCTAGTCGGATCATTTCCTACAGAAGACACAAATAATCCGTGTTCAGTCATTTAAGAGACTGGAGGAGGGGTATGCCCCTCTTCTGCACCCCAAAGAAATCTCAGTAGCTAGACCACTTAGGTTCAAATCCCAGCTCTGAATCTTACTGTACAACGTTAGCTGATTATAGAACCTTTTAGCTTTGTCTGCTCACCTTTGCCCAGGTAGCTCATTTTACATCTTTAAAAAAAACACTGAGGACTCAAGTTTCTATCAAATTATAAATTACCATTCTTGCTACAGAATTTTCTTTCTAGAAAAGAAATACCTCAAATATAAAGAAAAATCATGTCTATCTTGGATTTTGTGCTTATTATTACCATGCTTTCATATTTAGCAACATTTCCATCAAGAATATGGCTTGGCTTTGCAAGCTCAAGTTTCCTGTGAATACTCTTAATTTTACTTTAGATTCAACATGAGATTTATCTGAAACTGAACACACAGAGTCCCAGCTCATTCATCTTCCAATGTTCCATTCTACCATTTAATCAGTTTTCTTTTTACGTCCATCTGGGTGAATTACAATTTTTCACTATTAAACAAGGTTGCAGTGAACGCTGTCTGTTGTGTTCACATGAATGCCAGGTGACTATTTCTCTAGAGTGAGAACAGACATCGTCTTTTTCCTAAAGAACAGAAGCCTCTCCAAAGATTCGGTATCAAAGTTTGATGTTTGCTCTAAGTTTTAATAGCTATCCTGTATCAAGATAAAGAATTTTATGGAGTGCCTTTTTGTTTTTTGTCATTTGGTTATCTTTGTACTCCCTTGTTAAGTTCACAACTGTCAGATATGACAGATGCTTTTCTTGTTCTGAACCATTCTGTGTACCTCGGATAATCCCTGCTATCCTTCACTCAGCCAACTTAACATCCACTGGGTTGGGGATTTAGCCCAGTACAAATCACATGATCTTCTGATTGTCTATTCCTAAATCTATTTCTCAAATAATTTGCCACTGCCTGTGGGAGGGTTGAGTCCTATCTTCTCTCTAGAGCCTATGGGCATGGAACATGGCAGAGAGGGTGTCTGTAAGGGTACTCTAGGCAGGTGAACGATTCCTAAATGCTATACCTTCAAGAATCCTACTCCTTTCTATTCCTGGGGATGGAGGATGACAAGATCTACCTGTGAAGAGAGGACCCGGGAGTAGCTTCTTCCATCTCAGCCCTTCCCTTTCCCAGTTCACAACAAATTGTAGCTGCTGTAATGTTTAGAAACTGACTTGCAACCCACCTGGCTCTATCTAAACCAGCTAGAGATTCGGACCAGGGGTCCTCACTCCCAAGGTCCATTTCTCTCCAAGCCCTAGCCCCACCATTAATTATTAGGGAAGAAACATGTTACAGTGCAGGATAAGGTTCAATCTGGAAATAACAGAAACAATCATGGAGGAACAGGAGACCATCAGTCAGGAAGCCCATTTCTTTCATTATAGTTTTATTTACTTGATGTATGCTATAAAGACAAACAAAATAGCTGTGTGTTTTCTCTGCAGAATCTTTGCCTCTGCAGAAGATGGGTAACCACTACCGTTAATTTTATTATTTTCCCTTGTCATCAGAAAAATATCTTTACCATATCTGATTTGCTTTTGCTTGTTTTTGAACTTTACAAAAATGAAATATAGAGCCTTCTGTAACTAGCTTCAATCATTCAATAATGACTTCTATGATTCAGCCATGTTGCTGGCAACTCTTCGTTCATTTTCACTCTGGATAATATTCCATTGTGTGAATACAGTATATTTATCCATCTCCCATTGATAGATGGTGTGGGAGAGAGACAAGTCTGTCTGTTCCTATAAAAATTTATTTTCATAGAAGCGATAATTGTCATAGGGTCACTATGAGTTGGAAGTGGGTTTAGTTTGAGGTGTTGATAGTTGACTGCTTTTCAGGTTTTGGTAGTAAAACAAGTATGCATAAGTGTCTTTAAGTGTTTCTGGATAAAATGTACAGAAATGGTTTGGGGGAAGTGGTTTCTACGCTGCTCTGACCAAGAACAAGAGTAAGAAAAACATTTTTCATTACAATACATATAAATGTGTGAACACATATATGCATGTATAAGTATAAAACAAAGCTTCTTCAAAACAATATTTACCCTTTCACATCTCTCTTGGTTTCAATGTAGTGTTTTCATTTAGAAAATTTGTTATAGGACTGAGCTTCCCAATCAGTGCCTGGGCACAGGTTAACAGGTGGTTTATACCAAAATACTGCCGCCTCAGCCCTTAGAACAGTGCTTTCCCAGGTGCCCAGCTAGACATGTGAATGTCCCACTACACAAGACGGCAGCAGCAGCAGCAGCAGCATAGAAGCACTCCTGTTGACCCGCAGTCAAAAGGGTATTTGTGAGGGAGCACATGTGGTCTGTGTTCTTGGATTTCCAATCCCCTATTAACAAAGCATTTCAAACTGCATCAAGGTACCCATCATGTCTAGCAACCCCATCAGCATAGTGGGTCATCCAGAAAGGAGAAAGGCGGCCTGATGTGGCAGGTGGGAAAAGCTGTGAAGGAACAATGTTAGATGCTGAGACCACCAGGGAGTCAGTCTGGAGTTCTTGCCAGGAAGGCACTTCCACACATGGCGGGAGCACACAATTACTGGAAAAATAACCAAGCCTTTTCATCAAGGGCACAAAGGGTCTATCGGGAGCCTGCACAGTTCTCCAATGTGTGCTTACACACAATGAATGAGTCCACTGTAGTCCTCCGAATGGGCAATGGCAAGCAGGGCCCAAGGACAGTAACAGCAAGAGACACATTGGAGTCACCAGAATGCGCATAGAGACCCTAAAACAAAACTCAAAGGAGGCTGGTTCTGCCCCCTCAGTGAGAGGAGGAAGAAATCTGTCAATATGCAACCAAAATGCAGGCTCAGGACAAGAACTGGGAAAGTAAGTTCCAAGTCCTACCAGGTGCTACACAAAAAGTTGAAGTGATTCCCTCTAACAGGGTCTATGGCTATATATAGTTTTCTTCTTTCTCTCTCTTTTTTGGTGGTGGTGGCGGGGTGTTGTGATTGAGTTGTTTTGTTATTAAGTTCTTGATGGAAAACCTTTAATGTTTTCATTTCAATCAGTTTTTGTTTTTCTTTTAAAGCATTCTCTGGATATGAATGGCCACCTTATGGTCAAGTGGCAGGATTTCAGTACTTAACATTTGCATCTTCTATGTTGGAACCAATTAGCCAATTTAAATTGTTGACAATGAATGAGAAAAAAACAGAAGTGGATTTAATAAGTTAAGGTCAAACATTACCAGAAAGGAGGACATAATACACATGGAGGTTTCATAGCAGTTCAAAAATAGGAAAGTGGTAGGAAACTAAAGAGTTGCAATACAGTATACAGCAGTAAAGGAATGCTAAAAAGAATTTACACCATTGTAATTAATGAGGGGCAATTTAGTTCCAGTGAAAACCTGAGCTATCACATTAAATTGATGAAGTCAATCTGAATTCATGAATATTATAATTAGTCTGATTTTAATTTAGGTATTCTAAAGTCATATAAGACTCAGTATATGAAGTAGAACCTAGTTTTATACTTGAAGATATTTAAGTAGCACTATAAAAATATTCAACTCTAGGAGCGTGGAAGAATTTTTTTCCAAGTAGCCTCCGTATATAATTCAAGCTGAAGGATTCAATCATCAGAGACTCATACCCCCATTAAAACATCAACCTGCCTGAGACAACAACCCAACTCACCTTTTTAACGCCCAAAATATCTTCAATGAGGGTTGCGGTTTGTAAGAATGTTTTCTTACTTGTCATAAGTGTAAACAGGAAGATCACAAAATCATTCTTTTCTGCCAGGCGCTTTGTGACTCCTTCCGTCTGTCATTAGGATTAGGGAGAGGGGGAGAAAAAGCAGAAAAGGTTGTATCCACCGGTTAAAATATGGAGCCAGCAATACATCCATTCCAGAATCCTACCTATGAGAATTCACGAGTCAACAAAGCTGGAATGTTATCATTTAACCCAAGGGATTACTTTTATTTAAAGCATATATTTTATTTTAAATTTCCTCAAAGATTATCACAAATACAAAATACTCTTTGAAAAGTATCCTAAACCAAATCAAAGGAACTTAAAACAATGGCTAAATCTGCTTCAGACAGAAGATGGGGCAACTTAGTACACAACACAACTCTTTCCAATTAGTTGGAGAAGAAACAGCTCCCATGGTTAATGTTAAAAGTCAAACTCTTCCTGTTTGGAAAAATCAAGGCATCACTTAGTAAACCCTACTCTTCCTCTAGATTACGGACTTCTGACGCATCTACTACTATTACAGCCAATTTTCTTTTTAACAAACCAATTCTTATAGTCTACTATATTAAAAATTCAAGGTACATACAATGGATCATGATGACAAGTGGGAACTACTTTGCAATGTGCATCAAAGCAATCTTATTATGTTTTGCTACATTATTATGTTAAAGCTTTATTATCTGGAAGTGTTTCTTTAATATTTTTATACATAGAAAAATACAGTATATACTTAAGACAAACATTTGACCTAGCAATGTTAGACATGAACCTAACTGTACCAACACACATAAAATTCAACTTAAAGACAGACCTAGGAATGGAATTTGTTCAAAATCTGGGGACTGCCTTCTGCCTATACTTGTTTATCTTCATTTAGAAATGAGAAAAGAGCATATCTTATTATGGTATAAAAGCCTTGGGAAAATCATAAATATTCCATTTAAAAAAATAAACAGAAATGTTTTCCTCTTTAAAATGTAGTTATCCAATAAATAAAACATACATGGTACTCTAGGCATAGAAAAACAACAATTCTTTTATGAAAAAGGTATATTTAGGTAAGTTTGATGGCAAGCTTTTTGTTTGTCTTAAGTATAATACACTTCACCAAAAGAACCAGGCCACCCATTATTATATAAAGGCCTACTGTTTCTTAATTGAACCGAAATACATCAATTTCTAGAGAATTTTGGCTATAGCACCAGGCCACAGGAAAGCTCTCAAATAGCTGAAAGTTGTTTGGGTAGAGAAAATGTTGTCTTGTGACTTGGAGGCAGTCATTCATCAATTTGTACTTGAAGGCATTCCTCAGTGAACTTGGTCCTAGTCCTCAGAGTAAATAAAGCACAGGTTCTGGGCTCCCGGAAGGGGTTGCTTCCTACTGGAACCCCGATCAATAGGGCACGCATGCAGTACTGTTAAAGCTCTGCAGCTGCCTGAGGAACCTTGATCCTCTCCACGCTGGCTTCCAGCTTGAGCTGCTCCACCAGGCACTGCAGGGCGTTCACGCTGGGCCCAGAGACATGGCAGCAGCTGTGGGAGGGTGGGTCCCAAAGGAATACTTACAAATGCCCGACTCATAGTCCATAAAGCCTCCTGGCATGCTCCTCCAGGAGACCACTTTGGAGTTGAGAATGAGACAAAAGCAGGCATAGTTGCCTCAGTTGGCCAGTAAAATCTAAATCCTATGGTCTCTCTTTGGAAAACAGCCTAAAGTCACTTGGAATAGAAATTGATGATTAACATGGGCAATTCTATTTAGAACTCAATCCAGGTGAGAACACATGAGAAGGTGTTTCCTATCAGGGCTTATATGACAAGGCTATTCTCCAACTTGAAATCAGAGTTTGAAGCATGGGCTTTAAAGGTCAGACCCAAGTTCTAATTCCAGCTGGGCAACTCAGAGCAAGTCACTTCTCTATTGCACCTCAATGTCTTCATCTGTAAAGCGGTCACCTCATAACACTCTCTGAGAAAATTCAATCTGACGATGCACACAAAGGGCCCAACAATTCCCAGTCAGTCTATTCTCTAGTCTACACCTCCCGGTCAAAGTCAATTTCTTGGAATACTCAAAAGCCTTCAAGTTCCTTTGCGACTCAGTTAAGTCCTACCCTTCTACTTGCTTGATATTTCCATTCATAGGCCTTTCAAACAGGCCAAGACCCTCTCCCTCAAGACTTAGCTCATGCAGGGGCCAGGTTGAACCATCTTCTGTTACGTCCATGCACGCACGGCCATTGCCTACTTCTACTACTTTGCTCTTCCTTTTAGGAATATGCTCACCAACTCCATATCTATCTGTTAAAATCCTACATGCACATTCAATCTAGCAACTGCAAGCCTATGTTTCCCAGGTGAGACAAAAATGTAAAAGTCTGCATACAAATTGTATAGCTGCTTTTTTTATAATTGTCCCAGGCTGAGAGTAATCAAGATGCCTTTCAACAAATGAATAACCCAAACAAACTGTACTACAGTCATACAAAGTGGAGCTATTTAGTGATAAAAAGAAATGAAGTTGTAAGAACCCCCCAATAAAGTGATTAAATAATGAACACTTTAAAATGATTAAAATGGCAAGCTTTAAATAAATAAATTGATCAATGATGTCAAAAAGGAAAGAAATGAATTCCGGAGCCATGAAAAGACACAGAAGAGCCGTAAATGAATACTGCGAAGTGAAAGGGGCATGTGTGAAACACATACACAGCACGATTCCAGCTAACCTACATGTGGCATAATTCCAACACAGGACATTCTGCAAAAGACAACTATAGAGCTACAGAGGCATAGATCAGGAGGGGTTCAGAGGGAGGGGAAGGGCAAATAGGTGGAACATGACATTTTTAGGGCAGTGAAATTATTCTGTATGATACTGTATGATACACGGCAGTATGCATTTGTCAAAACCTATGGGGCTGCACAATTCAAAGACTGAGCTCTAAAGGGAACTACGGATTTTATACCAGCTCTTTGAGTATATCATAGGAAAAAAACCTAATATTTCTCTAAAAAATATCTATTTTAAAAAAGTCCTATATGCCAAGGTTTAACCCAACACCATAAATGATGCAGCTGAATATTTATCGTTTTTGTAGGGGGAAAAATGATCCTAGTGGTAGTTGTATACCTTTTTCAATCAAAAATAAGTTTAATCACCAAAATAAAAGGAAGTTTTCAATTAAGAGGTAGAATGAGAAAATATTTGAGAGCCACATATCTGTTAAGGGTCTAATATCTAAAATAGGTACAGAAGTCTTTTAAGTCAGTGACAAAAAGACACAGACCCAATTTAAAAATGGGGAGGGAAAAAAAGAGCCAAGGACTTGAACAGACATTTCACCAAAGATTACATACAAATGGCCAAAAAGCACTTAAAAGATAGCTACCACTTCACCCATGCTAGATGGCAATTGGGAGAAAAAGGGAAAAGAAGTGTGGCATGTCTGTGGAGAAACTGGAACCCACACCCACTGCTACAAGAATGCTAAATGGTGCCAACACTCTGACAAAGAGTTTAGCAGTTCCTCAAGAGGTTAAACATGGAATCACCAGGCGACCCAGGGATTACACTCAGGTATATACCCACAAGATTCAAGGGGCTCAGTCAGATACACAGCAGGGACTCAGAGAGATGCAGATACACCAGTGTTCACTGCAGCAGTGTTCACATCAGTCAAAAGATGGAAACAACCCCAGTATAGATTAACAAGTGGTTAGAAAAACAAATATGGCATACAGATACAATGGAATCTAAAGTCATTCATACACAGAAATACAGTTCTAGTACTTGCTAAAACATGAACACTAAAAACATGCTAAGTGAAATAAGTCAGTTAAGAAGTATTGCGTGATCCCATTTATATGAGATTTCTAGACCAGGCAAATGCAGAGAGATTATTACTGGTTACCAAGGGTGGGGGGCTGGGGGAATGGGAAGTCACTGCCTAAGGTGTACTACCGAGTTTCTGACACAATGAAAAACTTTTGAATATGTGATGTCTGCAAATGGTAAATACAATTAATGTCAGTGAACTGTACACTTAAAATGGTTAAAATGGTAATTTTTGTTATACATATATGAAGGGGGTTCACACAAAAATTGATGGAAAAATTCCATTATCTTTTCATTCCATCTTTTCACAAACTTTTTGAAGCCACCTAGCATATTTTAACCACAATAAAATTTAAAACGTGTGTTTTGTTAGTTATGAAATAATACCACAAATGAGAAAAGACAAGCCGACCAACTCTTCAAGATGCCACCACCTTCGAGAGACCTTCTTGAACCTATTTCACATTCTCTCTCTCTCTCTCTTCCTCTGTAGTCTCAAGGGCCCAGTCTGCACTGTCCAGATCTCTTACCACTCTGTCCTCATTCCCCACATCAGTTCCAGTTTACTGTATGCTATCTGAGAGTAGGACTATGTCCAATCTGTCTCTGTATTCTTGGGAGTTAACAGAAAGACTAGGACAAAACACAAAAAGTGTGACAGAAGTTAAGGAAACTAGGTGGTGAAAGAGCTCAAAAGCCAAACCCTAGTGGGAGCCTAGTGGGACCACTGGAACTATGGCCCTTGGTCACCTTTCAGGTGTGGAGCTGAATTCACCCCCATGTTAGAATGGTCAACTGTTCAGAATCATGAGGGTATCATTTACCAGATTCAGAGGATTGAGAAAGGATAAGGAAATGGAAACAGGAAACAGGGAGAGAGTAAAATAAAGTGATGATTGAGGGGATTATAATGGCTGAGTAGACACAAATGTATATAGTTCAAATTGCTGAAGAAAGACGGATGATCTGGTCTGTAAATCCTCACCTAATTCACAATAAAAAGTTAAGGGGGGGGGTTCTCAGCAGGAATAAAAAGAGGGTGGGGGGGTGGAAGAGTTAGAAGAGTTGGATCCAAGAACCTGGATTTAAAACTGCAGCATTGCTAACCTAAACAACCCCACCCCACCCCCAACACACAATACACCTCTACCACCTTAGGCAAGCAGTAAGCACAGTGGCTTTAGTATTTTTTTCCTTCATTCTTATTCAGCCTCTAAACTGAAAA